TATTAAATATTAGTTAAAATCTTATTGAAACACTTTGTATACAACATTTACATATAACCCAATGCACTATATTCTTTCTTGTTAATTATAACATAAAAAAAGAAAAAAAAAGAGCCAGAATGCAATATTAAGTTAATTAATGGTGGCTAGGCTTTCTGCTCTGCAAGTTAAAAAAAATAATCCTTGAAAACCTTAGACTATAGACTTTCAGCTTTGTAATTTACACAGGTTAATCTAATAATAAAAATGAATACTACCCAATCATTAACTATAAACAATAATATAACAAGTTATATCGGATCATATAGCAATACTGATTATATAACTTATATCGGATCATATACCAATGCTTATTATATAACAACTTATATCGGACCATATAGCAATACTGATAATATAACAACTTATATCGGATTACACCAATACTGATTACCAGTTAATTTATTCCTTCGTTGAAAATTTGCTTACGCCTGTATTAAACATGTTCATAAAATTATTTTCATTTTTTTAAATCAGAAAATAAAAGTACACAGCCTATTATTCCTGTTGTGACTAATTCTCATACATCATATAAGAATCAATAATTACATTTTCGATTTTGCTTCCGTAACTTAACATATAATATGTAAAAAAGGGCCTTATACATGGTTTAGCAACCTATTATTTTACACAGGACCACTAAACAAAGCATGGTTTCCTTACCCACCACTGTACCACTAAACAAAGCATGGTCTCCTTACCCACCACTGTACCACTAAACAAAGCATGGTCTCCTTACCCAGTACTGTACCACTAAACAAAGCATGGTCTCCTTACCCTAGACCACTAAGCAAAACATGGTCTCCTTGCTCTGGCCCATCTCAAGCTTCTACGACGTCGTTTCCGCTTTACTTTCGAACACTGGCTCAGGTTAGAATGTGGAGAAACTACTAAGCCATTCTCACTCTGTAGCTCGGTATATTGGGATACCTCTGATAAAATGTTTTCAATTTTAGTGCCCTCTTGCTTGATGTGATAATATTCACTCAATTTTATACACTGTGATGGTTGCCTGGGAAGTTTTAGTCGTTTTGGTACGTAAAGGTTTCCACACCGTAATTCCCGTCCATAGATATAATTAGTTTCCCTGATAATTCGGTAGCTGTCAGCGCCATCATAATGCATTGAAGATGGGTATATCAGTTTCTTCATGCACCGAGACCAGTGCTTTCCCAGTAACTCTGGTGATTCAGATAGATATCCACACCATGGACATCGACGCTCCAAATCTGCAACATCAAATTATTCATAACTAACTGCCACCTCCATATCATTTTCCCCAAAACCTTATTACAATTCAGCGTTAAATTAAATGGAACGTTTGCGACAAAGTGTATTAAAGGCATTTCACAAACAGCTCGGAGTCTGCTAACAGGAGTAGCAGCAATCGCCTGTTTCTGTACCCCACCTATAATATATATATATATATATATATATATATATATATATATATATATATATATATATATATATATATATATATATATATATATATATATATATATGTGTGTGTGTGTGTTATGTCGGTTCATGAAGCTTTGGTTTGGTGCTGGATTAGGCTTATCAATTTCTAGCCTAGCATACAAATATATAACCAAATCTTTAAATATATAAGACTCTTAACTTTATCTTCATGATAGATAAACAAAGATAATTGATAAGCCTCTCCAGAGGTAATTAATTTGTCTAACCACATCAACAACAACGATACTAATACTAATAATATTATGAAACAGCAATAATAGTTACTGAAACGAATAATTAATTGATAAGTTACATTTGTTCTCTGGCATTCACAAAATTGTTAATTAAACGCCTGTAGATAATTTTGTACAAAACAGACTCAGTGCATCAGAGCCAAGTATAACCTGACTCACCATAGCAAGAGCAGCTTCACCAAAGAACACCAGACTTCGCTAACAAAATATAATAATGTAGTCATCACTTTTTACAGATGTTTCAGGCGAGTAACAGGATGAGTGACCAAGTAGACTTCCTTATTGATCTTCCTGAAGCAACTTATTTAGAACTACGTGTGTGTGTGTGTGTGTACGTTTAACCATATACAACAAAACTATCCTAAACTACTAAAACCAACCATCAAAACGGAAAGTTAAGACCTACCAACGATCTCAACTTCACTGTAAGACCTCTCCTTGATCCACTTTGACACGTCCATAGTTGGAGAATGAATACTTAACACATTAATGAGGAATATAGAGAGATAATTCAGGGCAGCGTTCCTTCTGTGGGCCACAGCGACGCACCCGCTGTCATTCAACACATCTACCATACTTCTTGAACCAAACTTTAAACAACTATTTAACCTGTGTTAATCTTTATACAAAAATAATGTCTATGTGGTATATTGTCGTTTGGGGTGTGTATATAATATTATCAACAAATACAGTACACGGGTTTTAATTTATTTAAATTTGTAAAAGAACCACAGCCTTGGATAATTTAGTTTGTTTTGGTTTTCATTATCGTTAAACATTAAGTAAATACGATAATAAGTTATATATATATATATATATATATATATATATATATATATATATATATATATATATATATATATATATATATATATATATATATATATATATATATATATATATATATATATATATATATATATATATATATATATATATATATATATATATATATATATATATATATATATATATATATATATATATATATATATATACTGTACATAAGTTCGACGATCTAATATAACCAAATTATCTAATTTTAGTACTTTAAATTAGATAGTTAAATTAGGTACTTCCTTAATATTTATTAAAATAAATACACAAAATTCAGTACATCACAATGTTCAAATTTATTATGTAGCCTATTTGAGCTTTTATTAATTACAGCTTAAATTTATTTGGCTATTTCTTATCAAGACTAATACGGTATATTCTTTATATCTATTCTATGTCCCTTAACTATATGGGCTTAAATATTTAACCACCAATAAATTAATAACGAAATATATTAAACTACCAAAACAGCTTTAATATGCTCGGCCAGGTATGATAGACTAGGATACGGAAGCCTAGTCACCTAACACGGTACATTCATTTAGATAATAGATAAATGTTTTGTTGTCGATAGACATTGATCTCACGTCGTGTGCTCTTTATATGGGTATATAGTTTTTTTCTTATTAAATGTGAAGAGATATTCAGTTGAAGCAACATTATTACATTTATTAAAAGAAAAATATTGTGGCATTTGGGGGTTTACAATATTAGGTATAACCCAATGTTCACAGAAAAATTATATTAACTGTATATAATGTAATAATGTATTTCTCTTTTGTATACATAATGTATAACTTATGTACATAATTCAATAAAGAAGAAAAATAATCTGCTTATATAATCGTTAATTCCACGGCCCTATGGCGTATGTTATATCATGGGATATGTGTAAAGGTAAGTACTGGAGATTAAGGGTCAGTATGCTTAGTATAACTGTGCATTATCATTATCAAGGGTTGAGCTCTGGCTCTTTGGTCCCGCCTCTCAATTGTCAATCAACTGGTGTACAGATTCTGGAGCCTATTGGGCTCTATCATATCTACATTTGAAACTGTGTATGGAGTCAGCCTCCACCACATCACTGCCTAATGCATTCCATTTGTTAACTACTCTGACATTGAAAAAATGATTTCCATTGTCTCTGTGGCTCATTTGGGTACTAAGTTTCCTCTTGTGTTCCCTTGTTCGTGTTCCACCCGTGCTAAATAGTTTGCTTTTGTCCACCCTGTCAATTCCCGAACATTTTGTAGGTGGTGATCATGTCTCTCCTTACTCTTCTGTCTTCCAGGGACGTGAGGTTAAGTTCCCAGAGCCTTTCCTCGTAGCTCATACCTCTCAGTTCTGGGACTAATCTGGTAGCATATCTCTGAATCTTCTCTAACTTTGTCTTGTGTTTAACTAAGTATGGACTCCAGGCTGGAGCTTCATACTCCAAGAATGGTCTGACATAACTGGTATACAAGGTTCTGAATAATCACTTACACAAGTTTCAAAAGAATTTTCAGATAAGTGCATGGTTCTAGATAATGTGTTAGACCCGAAATAATTAAATCACTGAATACCTAGTTATTATTGTTAATTATGCCTCGGAATTAGTTCATAATTAGTATAAACTCAGCGTATATTATTCACCGAGTGGCGGAGTAAGCCTTTCGGTGTATATATTAATTATGGATACAATTCACTTCACTTGGGCTTAACGCCCAAACTGAAGTGAAGCAACACATGAAAGGTCATTAGGTCAAAGCCCCCTATTTATTATTTCTAAAACTAAGGAAGAAAAATGTATTTAATTTGAACCGTACCATCATTGTTATGTCCCATTTCTACTTTTTCTAGTTTCATATAAATCAAAACAAATGAAAAGTATATTTAACACTGTCGGGAATTCAGCACAAGTAAAAAGTCTCCGTATAAGGGCAATTATACCAGGGCTAAGTGTTTTAAAAGTAGATTGACAAACAAATACTACCAACTACAATACACTACAACTACATTCTTCAACAATACACTAAGACAACGTTTTGATCCACCCACCTAGCCCTCCCTACAGTACACCACTAATACAACTTTACACAAATTGTCTTGCCGGAAATTGGACGAGTGGCCGCAGAGACTTCCACGTCGACGGCTATGGTGACCTCAGCAAACATGACCACGTTCCTGGCCCCCAACAGTGTTCAGGCAGTTACTAGATCTAGCAAGAGAGATATGGGAGGGTATCACCGGTGCTGTAAACATTGCAGCTGCAGGTGGACTCAACCATTGCATGAGGTTCCATGGAATCTAATCATGTTGCGCGAACAACGCTTCAAAGTAAATAATTAAAAAAACAAAAACAAATATATATAAGACAACACGTACTGGGTGTATCAAAACATAACATTACTTAAAAGTACACACTTAAGTTGATACACTTTATTTTTGCAAATATACATGACGAAATATTATAATAATACATATTATTTAACATATATGTACATTTTGTATACCGGTATTTATTAAAATTATTCGTTTTTGTAACATCTCATACGATATTGCACATTAATATATACAATCTCAGTAAAGATAATATAATTAACGCATTATATTATACATTATGCACTTAATTATCAGCACCTCAACGACAGCAATCTAACAGTACAATTATCTTGTGGAGGTGCTCATGGCACCGAGCGCTTAGTGTCACAACACATGTGTCTCAGGTGTCCCATACGCCTGAAATCACCTTTAATAAATATACCCATGGACCGGTGCTCCTGGTAGTCAACACCTCTCATATATGGGTAACAGTTCGTACTGTATGCCAGAGTTAAACACATCACTAAAAAAAAGCCCTGAGAATGCATAAACGTGTAACATAATTAACAGAATGACTTTGTAAGTAAGCATGATTAGTGTAAATGATTCAAACTTACATTTTTGGAAGCCTTAGTCCTACAAGATGAATGTGATTGACTGTTATAAATATAAATAATTGTATGTCCCATTCCTGTTTATTTCTCTGATGTTTATAAATCACAAAATAAACAATGACTTCGTCTACCTTGTGGGCTGTTTAGTATAAGTCAAACATGTGTATATTTTCCAGTGCTCTTGTTTCTTATACAGCAATATTAAAACATTATGTATTTTGAGGTTATAAACTGGAAAAGGATATTTTGTTCATGTTCCTCATATTAAAGACATTCTGAAAACTGAAGCTTTCAGCTTTAAACTTTGCAGTCTTGATCTTGATCGGCTTTCAATGCTTGGAGCTCGTCACCGTTGTCCTGTGTCTTGGTCTTCTCTTGGTCAGCTTCCTTCAGTCCATACAGGTCTAGTTTACCACTATAACGGAACACAACAATGTCCCCGAGTACAGAGATCAGCATTATCACTGAAGACAAATGAAAAATGCATTTTAAGTACGGATCCTATTTTGATTTCAAGACATATATTTACTATTATAAGTTTTTTGTAACTTTCTAAAACATATCTACAAATATAAGCAAGTACTGTCCATCCAACCCGTGCTTCTAATAGAACGTCGCATTTTGACGTATACTCTAAGGCCAAAAATTGTCGTATTGGAAAATGGAAGCGACTCACTAAATTGACATACTGTCTTGTTTTCTGTTTTGGGTCCTCTGGTAGGTTAGGATAAGGGCCCTTTAGTACGACAGTTTATTGACGTTGGGGAACCTTAGGAGGACGGGCTGGTCCATCTTCAGATATTTCCTGTCTGCTTATGTGGGTGTAAGGGATTGAATCTTACCAGTCAGTTGGTGCGTCATTGTGTTAAGAAGTAGCCATCACACACTGCATGTTCTGTTACTATATTTGTAAAAAGGAGTTCAAGAGTGGCGAATGTTGGAGATGGTGCTAATTTCGGCTATTAATATGAGATTCAACCAGAAAATAACTTTCGTTTGTCGATCTGTCAGCTACCAAATACCTTTTTATAGTAAAATATACGCATTTCATGTATTGATCTTGAAGGTAATCCTTAACCGTATCACATTTGAGCGTCTTGCACCTGACTTTTCATTCAAATCTAGAATTTTGCAGTGTACCTGACTTCTCAGTGTGCATACAAAGTTTACTTTTAGTCTTAAACTATGTTGAGCCTGACAACCAGCCTGACCAGACTGGTTGGTCAGCAAGGCGTTGAGGTGTCGCAACAAATCCCTCCCCTTGATAACTCTCACGTCTTAAGCCCCAAACCAAACCAATTGCTACTTGTAAACTCTAGTCATCATGCTGAAAATTATTTTTTCAGTTCCATAATCAATGTTAGAAAATTTATTGTAATGCCAACTGTATTCAGACTTAAGGGGTCAAGCATGCCTCTGCCGCTCACAGGAAGATACAAGCATATAAGCTGAGGAAGTGAAGTAAGAATATCAAAATTTTCTTACCGGCAGGAACCAGATGAAGGATCTTCCTAAACTTATCTGAGTCGTAGAGCCAACAGTTCCCAGATTCGCCACAGGAACTGTTCCACACCACACATGCTGAATCTGCCACAAAATACAGAATTTAGTACACTGCTATGTTAGTTTTTATAGTGTACTCACCTAATTGTGCTTGCGGGAGATGAGCTTCGGCTCTTTGGTTCGTTACTACTTACAACATGATGACTATATTATATATTGGATATATTAATATAATATTCTGACGTTAATACTCTAAGACAGTAGTTCAACCGTTTACACTTCTATTTCTTTAATACAATATTGCAGGGAATATAACCCACGTCTCGGTGTACATATACTGAAGGTTTACCTCTGTCCTGGATATGTTCAGGATTAAAGTATACTTGCCGGCTGGTCAGTAAGCTATGCCTTAATAACCTCCCATATGTTGGTAGGTGTTAAGCCCAACACCAAACCAAAAACAGTATTGCATTGATTGATATTAAACAAAAAAGTTATATTATATATGTATATATATATACTTCACTACTCGAAGTAAGTAAGTAAATTAATGTTATATTAATAAATCCAATATATACATATATATATACTTCGATCCTGGACTAAAGGATACTTTTCCATTGGCCAATAAGCTAATGTGGTGGAAGAGATCATCAGGGAAAAAAGGGAGAACTATGACAAGCAGCCAGCTTCCTGTCCCTCATCGAGGGCACTGCTATTAGTGGCCCTCAGGTAAACTCAGGTAAATTCAGGTAAATAACTAGGCGTCCCGCGACTGACTGGCTCAGCACCTAACACCAGGCCCTCCAAATACTGGCTAGAACTTTACCTACCACAAGACATGGCTCTTAATATAAATACTATTTTGTTGTAAATATATTCCTATGCTTAAAACTGCACATAATAAAATTGATTACAACACAACCTATTAGTGAACATACCAATAATGGCTCCCATTATAATGGGTGCTGGGATGAAGGCAAACAGACTGATGAAGACTGTGATGGTACCAAGTGAGAGTCCTTTGTCTTCATCAGCCACTGACCTGTCACGATACAATACTCTACAGTATGTACTGAATGTATGAATTTTAACATACAATAAATATTGAACAATTTATCTCATATAGTATCGGATCCTCAGGGAATGTGCACCTTCCTGGTAATCACTTCAAAAGTATACTATAAAATAGTTATAACTTGAGAATAAGCTCGGGTTACGACAAAGGTTCAATTGCCAGTTTACCAGTAGAACATTACAGAAACTTTAATACAATGAGAGCATCACAATCTAGATAAGTATCTAGGTGGTTTAACAAGGGAGGAGGATTGCTCACACACTAGTACTGTTAGCATAATTCTAGGGGAAAATACACAATTGGAAATGCATCATTCCCTGATAATTTCAGGATCTCCAAAATAATTTGCGTCAACAAATTACAATATAAATGTGTATTTACAATAGTCGACAAACGATATGCTCAAGTTTTCAGGAATCCTGTTACTAAATTTCTAGAATATAAATTCACTCCCATCGTACACAGGCTCGATTTTCCATATCGGTTTTATGAAACTCAAATTCGTAAGGAAATATATGTAAAAACAAAAACAAAAAAATTGTAGTATAAAAAGTACCTGTATCATCAATGTAAATCTGATTATAATTTCCTTGAGGATTATATTACTTTCAATTATTGCTTCATTTAATTCAGTTGTTCTGGAGAAGCATGAACACATGTTTACAGTCGTAATTAAACTAAATCTAGAAACTTAAAACAGAAAAGTGTTTAACAAATTGTGAATCACTAGTCAGACACTTGTTACGTATTTATGACAGAGAAGACAATCTCCGCTCACCTGAGGAGGACAATGCTGCCACCAATGCGACTGGTGGACGAAATACTTTTTGTGATGATCTCAACCAGGAAATAGTAGAAGAAGCCATTGCAAGGCTCAGGGCAGTACCCTCGCGTAGCTGCTCCCCACTCCTCCTGCAAGTCATCATTCCATACCATACTTGCAGAGAATAAATTAGTATCATGGCTGAAAACAAACAACCCATCCCACACAAGTGCCCGAAACGCTACGCGTACTAGTGGCTGTACAGGAATGTAACAACTCTTGTATATATCTCAAAAAAAAAAAAAAGTGTAATACGAGGTATAATACATGCACAAATCACAATTGCAACTCTTTTACCATGCCGTGGTACAGTTGATTAGCTCAGGCGCGTCTGGGAACACTTTGCGCATAGGTTCGAGCCCTCATCAACGCCATTGTGGATTTGTTCATGAGGTATAATAATAGTAATAGTAATTCAGTGTGTTGGGGGAAAGGTAGCCATTGTATATATGCACGTTTGGCTTATGTCGAGCTCCATTCAAAGGTCGAAATACTGACTCCCCCCCCCCAGAAAGCAACTCCACAACAAGCTAACTTGGATATTTACTGCTAGGTGGACAGGAGCATTAGGTGACAGGAAACGCGCCCAGTCATTTTTGTCTCGCCCTGGATTCTAACCCGGAATTCTCGACTGCGAGTCGAGAACGAACCCGACTGTACATCAGGGACTTTATTTACATATTTACACTAAGGTATAATTGTTTAGCTAAAATGCCTCTTTACTGATTTTTAATCAATTTCATAATATAAAAATAATAAATTGGATGTTAAACAATTTTCCTGGCATTAGTATAAACTGATTAAACTGTAACAAATCCAGAAGCTCAGTAGAGAACAACTTTAACGAAGAACCTAATGATACCAGTCAGTGTAAAAGTTAAAATGATGTTGCTAAAATACATCAATATTCTAAAACGAAACAAGTACAGATGGAAGCTTAAACAAATATTTGTGAACAAAACCCTACAGTTACCGTGGGAGAATATGTGGCATACACAGCACTGTGCCAGACCCCCAGGGGCCACTGTGAGATCTATACTAGGGGCAGCGGCTGGATTACAAGCAAAAGGGCGTTGACCAGACCACACACTAGAAGGTGAAGGCACGACGACGTTTCGGTCCGTCCTGGACCATTCTCAAGTCGATTAATATCGACTAGTCTGTTAACATACTTTAGCCGTTATTGTGACTCATCGCCTGCAAAAGGGTGTTGCTTGTTCGCTAAACTAGACCATTTTCGGATTACCGAACACTTCTTGGAGGAAGATTTGGGATGTTTTGTGACACGGCTTAAGGGTGATTTACTTCGATGGTGAGTCCTTCCTTGATCGCAGTCGCTTCTCGCCTCATGAGCGAAACAAGGCAGTGAAATGACACTTGCTCCAAGTTGTCATATCACAGAAACTCATTATGTCTTATCACGACACTAATGGGCCAGTGCTATCAGCAAAGGGAGCGACTGGTGGGGAAAGCCTATCCATAAATATAAGTAGGTTATTAATGAAAAAAAATATGTATTGTAAGGATTGCGTATTATCCTGGAGCAAGGAAGATGGTACGACTTGTCTGACCTGTGGTATTGGTGTGGAGACGGTGATATCTTGGGCCAGCGAGGAGGAATTACTTATGCAGCGGCAATCACTGTAACTCTGCAAGGAGAGAATAGCAATTATGACAAATTACACGTAAAGTGTGTTTTAATTCATGATTGCAACTGGTTGCGAGTGAGTTTGTTTGTGCAGTAGACGTGATGGGTCGTTACAGCCTCCCAGGTGTCTGTGGTCGGAGTTGGGTTCAGTGAAGGAACGATAAGTGTCATTCTGAGACTAGATATATATCTCATTAATGATTAATCTTAAATTCTCACAAAATTCCACAGAATATCTTAACCCAAAGAAAGTTTTAGACATTGATAAGTTAGCGGAAGTCTTTAACGGTTTGAAGCTGCCAACGCTTGAAAGTTGTTGCTAAGCATGATGGTGGTGGTGGTGGTGGTGGTGGTGGTGATGGTGGTGGTGGTGGTGGTGGTGGTGGTGATGGTGGTGGTGGTGATGATGGTGATGGTGGTGATGATGGTGATGGTGGTGGTGGTGGTGATGGTGGTGGTGGTGATGGTGGTGATGGTGATGGTGGTGATAGGGGTGGTGGTGGTGGTGATGGTGGTGAAGCTGCAAACTGCACCGAGATCACTGGATCACCAATAAGACAGTTTTCAGAAACGAACAATTTCCTCAACATTCCTAAGTGTGACCCAACGTTTCAGCATAATAAAGGCCTAACTCAGACGTAAACATTACGTCTTCACACCTGTAATGCCAAGTGCTAATGCTTATATTTCACCAACAGTATTGCGTCAATATTTCTTACTGAAATTAATAATAATAATTATTATTATTATGAAAGTACAAATAAACAGTAATCATGGGTCAGGAAAACATTTATACTGTATTACAGCACTTGTAAAAAGGGCAGTAAAGCAGATGTTTGTTGAAAAGGACATACAATTGGATTAGTAGTGACGTTATCAAGAGTGCAGCCAGCATAGCACGGGGAGTAGAAGAGGGTCGACTTGTCCTGGGCACACACGGGGGTGAACTTCTCTGTGCAACCGCAGTCTGCTGAACACATAGGCCCCGTCAAGCTGTAACATACAAGAGGCACTAGATATGGTTTTGATGGCAGGAGGCCACTCGAGAGAGGTGTCCTGAGTAGGGACGTGGTGAATTTCTTATTAATATTCAGCTCGTTATATTGTTAAGGTAACAATTTATAGTCAGTAGCCAGAGTTGGAGGTCTAAGCTGCTGGAGTGTTGCTGCATGCATTGTTGCACTAGTGTTCAGAGGATAGAGGACCGTAGGACAGTGTGAGTAGTGGTCCTGGTCGGAGCTGGAGTCTTGTCATCTGAGAGTTGTTTCTCCAGAGGTGTGTGTATTTACTATTTGTACAGTGTTTACTATGTGTATCTTCAGAATCGAACAATTAGCTGTTGGACCCCACCTTTCTAACCAATTTATTTTTTCTCTATTATGTCTAGCGTTGTCCCCCGTGAATATGTACTCACCTAGTTGTGCTTGCGGGGGTTGAGCTCTGGCTCTTTGGTTCCGCCTCTCAAAGGTCAATCAACTGGTGTACAGATTCCTGAGCCTACTGGGCTCTATTATATCTACATTTGAAACAACTGTGTATGTAGTCTGCCTTCACCACATCACTGCCAAATGCATTCCATCTGTTAACTACTCTGACACTGCGTGTGTGTGTGCGCGCGCGTGAGTGAGGAAAGGACAGTAGGTGTGTGGTAACTGAACCAAGTACACTCACCCGTCCATCGGGCCAATGACATCAAGTTTTGGGCATCCAACAAACATGAGGGCCAAGAAGCCGAGGCAGGTGATGAAGGTAACAAAGACGTTGTATCCGGTCACATACCGAGGTCCAGGTCTCAACCACCTCATTACGGACCCGCTAACTACTGCACCAACCACCGACACCAGAAGACTGGCCAAACCTGCCCCGGGGGAAGAACAATACACGTATGATTCGCGTGGTGGCCAGGATCCTAGCGACTGAGGTCAAATGTGTATCATGTTGGAGTTTTACAACAGAGCTTAATAATACATTTTTTAATATTGATAACAACTCAGGAAACCCCATCAAAGCCACCAGCTGGATATGTGTGGGTTGAGTTATTTGTTTTCCGCCAGGTTGTTGTGTCTTACTTCCCGCATCAACATATTATCCGCTTGTCTAGGCTATGAGAATTGTACATTATCTTCTCTAGTACAAATATACCTCACTTGTTGCTAGTTTTCTGTAGGCGCCAGTCAAAGCTGGTTATTCACACACTAATCAAGCAAAAAAACTTCACATATACCTGCTTACATATACTGTACTCGCTTGGTTATATACAATAATCAGACAGGTTTGATATATTTCTGTTTACATATACTGTACGCACTTGGGTATATAAATACTGCACCTGTGTAATAATTAGCCTCGGTAGCACTTTTTCGAAACTGGTTTTCCAAGTACTTGGGTTTAAAACTCCAGTAGCCAGATAGGGCGAGAAGCGAGAGTGTGACGCTGAAGAGGTTCCCAGCCCAGATCTTGTTGGTGAAGAGACGCTTTAATGCTATAACAAGGTCTGAAACCAGGAAAAGCAGATCAACCAACAAAACACATACAATTATAGTAGGTTATATATAATTATAGTACGACGTTTCGATCCAGGATGGACCGAAAGGTCGTCGTCTCTTCAATTTCCAGTGTGTGGTTTGGTCAATACAATTACAGCATGCTAAATGCAGCCATCACAACCCTTATCACTACTACCCTTCCCTCTTTCATAGGTTGGGAAGGCATCATAGTCCCGAAGAAAGAGGAAAGTGATAATGGAAAAGGAGATCAAAAAGCCTCCAGACTATAATATACTTACTGATAAGCAACGTAAACAGAACTAAAAACTCACATCAAATGAGATTACTTTAGTTTGACAAGAACACTGAAAGCGGGAGTCAAGAGGCAGCTCACGTCAGTGCATCATTTCAATGTCTTTTACTGCATTTGAAATTGCAAAACATGTCATTTGCAGATGAAAAGTCACAATAACGTGACTGAAAAAATGTTGACCACACCACACATTAGAAATTGAAGAGATGACGACGTTTCGGTCCGTCCTGGATCATTCTCACAATCGACTTGATGATTGTCCAGGACGGACCGAAACGTCGTCGTCTCTTCACTTTCTAATGTGTGGTTTGGTCTACATGTTATTTTATAATTACGATAATAGATAACCACAAAGGATAGCTGCTGATGCACTTTCATGAATATATATTTAACATGATCTTTACAAGCAATCTGAAGGTTTGTAAATATATACATCATACACTGAGATGTGTATATACACTGAGAGTTCCGTTTAGTCCTAAACAATGTTGAGGACTAAAGTATACTTGCTGGTTGGCCAGTAAGCTAGTGTGGTGGCCTTAATAACCCCTCCAGAGGTTGACAGGCCTTCAGCCCAACACCAAACCAATTTACCAATACAAATATACTCACTCTTCAAGGTTGGCTTTGATTCCTCTCTCTTGGCCTTGGCCACGGAGAAGAAATACTCAACTCCTCTGTTTGATCCTTCTCTTTCGTCTTTATCAGCTTGTCTGAGCATCTTCTTGCCTTCTCTCTTCAGCGTCGCCGGCAGCTTCCGGGGGAAGAAGAACAGAGGGATGCTGGTGACTGCCAGAGCCAGCCCAATGAACACGAACCCTGGGTGAACACAGAGCACGATCATTACCAGGAGGAAGCCACAAGCATGTATGATTATATAACACTTGCAAAATATACGAAGACAAGAAGCTGGGATATGATGACGAAGTGCAGGAAGGGTATCCAATCACTTCGACTATCCGCGACCCACCAATGACCCTACAAGAATCGAGGACGTCGCCATCTAGTTATGGTGACATACTGCTGTCTGATAATTACTTTACCTGAAAACTATGAAATTAGATGAGCATTAAAATATTAGTTATTCTTTAACTATTACATTGTTTTCTTTTAGTGATGTTAATTTGGGTATACAGGATGATAAACCAATCTCATAGGCCACGAGGCTCTGTATTTCGCTGTTCCATGAAATCGCATCCTTCCCTTATCTATTTCTCCCTCTCTCCTTGTCTAAATTCACCCCCCTAATCTCTCCCTTTTTCCGTCCTTCCGTACTTAAATCCATTCAACCTTTCCTGTCTAAATCAATCTATCTCCCGTCTCTTTTCATCACCCCCCCTTTCCTGCTATTAAAATAGGCTCAACATAACTAGGATGTGGTCCTACCTAGCCACCAAGCGCCCAGCCACCGTGGATCTTTCTTATCAATGTTAGGCTTCTTGGAGGGATCGATCCAGATGGAGAGACACTGTCCTCCTATGAAGAATCCCAAGACTGGTCCCAGGATCCTTATTAGCATCGTCAAGGCTGCAAGTAAAGGCATCATTAGATAAGGAGTCACACGTACAGAGTATACTGCCCTTGCTAGAAGCAGCACAATCTCAGTGAAATGGAAAGTGAAACGTTTAAGGGACAAGGCAGGGGTGGACTGGGTCAGCCACAGCACCTGAATTTACCTGAGGGTCACTGACACCAGTGGCCTCGACGAGGATAGGAAGCCGGCGGCTTGTTAAGGACTCTGGAAGACACACACAGTACACAGGCTTGGACTGGACCAAGTATCATAAAAAACTAATTATATACAGTACTCTTAAATAACAATGACAAGACTAATGATAAAATGGTGCTCAGTATGAGGTATCTCTTGTCAACGGCACTAGGGCAAGTATCTCTTGTCAACAGCACTAGGGCAAGTATCTCTTGTCAACGGCACTAGGGCAAGTATCTCTTGTCAACGGCACTAGGGCAAGTATCTCTTGTCAACGGCCCTAGGGCAAGTATCTGTTGTCAACGGTACTAGGGCAAGTATATATGGTCACAGTGCATAACTCAAAGAAGCCTAAACTTACTGTAGTAGATGGGGTAAGACTTCTTGTTGACGTTGTCATCCAGGTAGGTGACGCCAATGCTGAAGAAGATGCTTATTGCAATGCCAACGAAGAACTGTGCAATAAAGAGCAGAAATATAGAGCCTAGGTATGCAGAGCTTCGGTCTTCCTTGCACCCGTCTTCTATTTTGGAGTGGCATAGCTCTTCTTTGGCTGCATTGAAAAAGATAGTAAAATAATGTGTCAGTATAATGCCTTTCTATAACCGGTTAGACTCACGCCTTAGTTAGGCCTTAGTCACATTACTCTTGACTATCATCAAGATATGGGCCAGCCATAAAAAAAGGAATCAGTACTATATTTTCTCCCTTCTTGAACTACAAGGAAATGCTCTTCACTTTATCCTAAAATAACAAATCTACTGAAACTAACGAAGAACGACAAATAAAACAAAAGGTCTATTCAGTTCCTTACCTTTGAAGTCAGTAAGATTTGACAGGAGGTTGCCGGCAGTGGCGGCCTCAGCTGCGGTGATGGCAGCAGTGCCAGGCCCGTAGAAGAGGTGAGGCAGGACAGCAGTGAGGCAGGAGGCAGCAGTAAAGAGGGCGCCCACACCTAGCCAGCGAGGACGGTGGCCAAAGGTACCATAGTACCCCAGGAACATGGCCAGCATCACTTGAGAGATGTCGTTACCAGACAGTATTATTCCTGACGAATACATAACATGCCTTTATGTAACACCATTTTGTATTAAGGGTGAGGGAATAATTATATAATATTAATATTGCTATTTAACCCTACAATATATATAAAAAAAGAGGATAAAAAAGACTTGTTTTTTAATGAAAATTGAGTTTCGAATTTAATGAAAAGTTTTCCACAGTTTTTGTATCATCTTCTTTCATTCATGGACCTTAGGGTAAAGTGACTGGTCTGAAGACCTCGGTGTTGAAAATCAACAGAGCAAAACCCTCCAAATGTCAGGAACTCTTTGAATACTGTTTGCACCAAGCAACAAATTACAACATGAAAGGTTCATATCAAGCAGAAACCTGTTAAAATAAACAATATGACATTAATTTCCCCACGATTCAATGCAAGATTCTTATGAAAATCACCATAAAGGTATTTTTATCATCAAGTACAGGGAATTATATACTTTATATAAGTTATTTGCTATTGTTATCAGGCGAAAGCACAGTTCGTATAGAGTGGGGACGAGACCGGGGTAAGCATCTAGCAGCGTATGCTATTGGCAGAAATGGTTTCCGGAAACTTGTACCGATTTGATTTATATCTTCAGTTGGAAGACGATGCTCCCAAATGTTCCCTCGCGGACTGTAAATACAGGGCAGGGCAATTATCACAAGAAAGCGCCGAACCAGCATGGTCATATAGCACTTGGAAGGGGCTATGAGGGCACTGATAAGGACCGGAGGAGATAAGAATCGGTACCCAAGCACTTTGACCTTCGGGGATCGAACACCGGCCTTGCAAGAAGCGAAGCGGAATGCGTATTCGGGGTCGGTCGCCGCTTGGACATACATAGCTTGAGGATGTGTTGCTGGCAGACACTTTGTATTATAACAATTTAGGTAGCATTGAACCTTACCTGTCTCCTTGCTGGTGAGTTTAAACCTCTTCTCCAGAGTAGAGACGACCGACACAGAGTATGTGAAGAACATGCCCTGGGTGACCCCCACCAGGCTGTACACCAGCATGTACATCTCCTTCGTCGCTAGCCTCTGTGGACACCACACACACATGAGCAAGCCACAGTAAAAAAATTCACGTTTGATAGAGTTGAGCAAATTGGACAATATTTCAATACAAAATAATCAGTATACATAAAACAGAGATAGTCTTGTTAAATGAAAATATATGTTCGATAATGTATTATGTTAATGCTGCATTGTGTCAGCTACGTGGGCAGCTTGGAGACGTTAAGACCAGGTTACTCCAGTTACAAAAGTCGTTCTTCACTCTACCATCTTCCAGCTACACTCTCGTGTTCTGGAGCCTCCAGCTACACCCACGCCAAGTTCCATAGCCAATGCTTACCCTCCCCAAGCACCACCTCCACTCACCCACCAACTCCCACCCCACCTGTGTTCTCTTCTGCCCCTCTTCCTCCACCCCCTCATATCTCACGCCTTCTTTTACCAATAATATTCAATAGCCTCTTCGTACCATCCAGCCCTTTCTTTCTGCCCACCTTCTCTGCAACCCTCGCTCCTCCATCCATCACCCCCACTCACCTGCAGCCATGATGGTGCACAAGTTCCCACACCACATTGCGTTTCCTGTAGGTCCTCCTCCGTAAAGAGGACCTTGAGCTGGGCCTTCTGCTCCTTAGTTAGCTTGTTGGACTGCGAGGTGGCCTTCTCCACGAGGTTGTCCTTCGGGATACCATTGGCCTGTTCAACGAGGCTGTCCTTCGGGCTACCGTTGGCCTGATCCAGCGCCCTCGTCGCTTCAGTGTCTGCTCAAAAACACAGAACCCGTTAACAAAATATTTAAAAACTTAAATCTGGCTGAGCGCAGCAAAAGATAACGCATCAATTTAACTTATTATAGAAGGAAATAGTGTACATTACTGTCACTGTATCGTAGAAAACCAAAACATGATATCCAAGTTCATCTGAAATTTATACTTCAGGGTAATAGCGATACCCTGTCTCCATCAGAATTATTAAGACATCTGCCTCCGTCATTGGACATATCTGCCTCTATCATTGACCACATCTGCCTCCACCACTGACCACATCTGCCTCCATCATTGATCACATCTGAACAAAAACGCTTCTAATAACTCGAGGCACAATTATTGACGGGACAATCGATCTAATAGTTCTCCAAGTTCTCCAAGATAGCAGAGTTGTGGTGTCTCCTGTCACCAAGGACAACATGTTATCAAGTAAGAACAGTCCTTGCTACAGTGATCTCAACCACCTAGCGCTTTAGAGATGTAATTTTTTCCTTTCAAATTTCTCAACTCTAAATTCATCTCCAACCACGGTTTCAGATATTAGTTCTCTAATGCATTCACTTAACAGAATCTCAGGAACCAGTGTGCCTACCCAGTACTGTAAGTCTAGACCTTAAGAGAACAGGGTAGAACACAGGTACACTAAGTCTTCACCGTAGAGAACAGGGCAGAACACAGGTACACTAAGTCTTCACCGTAGAGAACAGGGCAGAACACAGGTACACTAAGTCTTCACCGTAGAGAACAGGGCAGAACACAGGTACACTAAGTCTTCACCGTAGAGAACAGGGCAGAACACAGGTACACTAAGTCTTCACCGTAGAGAACAGGGCAAAACACAGGTACACTAAGTCTTCACCGTAGAGAGTAAGGCGAGACCAAACTCTATAATGTTCTACCCGTTGTGTGTTTTTAACAGGTAACTAACGGGAATTATTACCTTAAGCCCTAGGTAGCATTTGGGCAATATTCTCCTACCAAGACCCACCCAAGAATAAATTAAACAGGAACGTTTAAAATTATTACCGAATTTTTAACCACCAAATACGTGAAACCGTAGTGTAACTTGTTTACAAAATATATTAATTCCTTCCGTGAAATAGAGAAAACGAAGTTGAACATAACAAGAGAATACATCCTACTTTTCTACAATAGTGTATTATTTCACTAACGTTTCACTAATTATGAACACTAACCCATGACGTGACTGGTGAAGCAGATGTCCTCTTGGTAATGGTGGTCTCTGTCAGGCGTCTGATCCACGTGATTTAACTCAACTCTCTTATCATCCTTGATTATCCCCTATCATTCATATCTTAAATATACGTCAGTGCATTGATGCCGTAGTTTAAGCGTGGAACGCTCCTCGCTGGCCAGTAAGCGAAGCCCAGTCTTCTCCACACGACTGCAAGAGCCTGGTACTCAAGTCGGACTGCTCAGCGGGTCCCAGCCTGCCTCCTGCACTGTGGTCGGGGCCCAGCCTGCCTCCTTCACTCTCGAACCTGATAACGCCCCTCTCTCCCAGTCCAAGATTACTCTCCCGTAAGACGTTCAAGCTTTAGAGTATAAAGTGCATGTTATGGAGATGCGAGGATAGTGTTATTTGACGGTGTCTTTATGCCGTTCCACATTTAAGTTCCCTGATTATGCTATAACACAGGAGTTGGATATTCATCGAATATCACGTTGTTTCCGGCTGCCCTTTGGAAGACTGTTTACACCAGTTTGCTGACCTGAAGTTTGCGTTATCATTAGGGTAAGAAAAAAAAAGAAAATAGAGATAAGATTAATAAAAATGTACCATGTGTTTTACATAGTTCTGTCACCTATCAGCGCTTGGAGATAGAACTGGTTACTGCCAGAGTCTAAATGACGTTCTTTTAATAAATCGTTGTTATTACGACAATATTAAAAGAAAGTATAAATGTTCGAAATAAAGCCATTACGATACTTGGATTTATATTTGGAACAATACAAACAATGATATTCTCCTTCATCTTCACTTGGTCTTTGTAAACCTCCTTCAGAGAATGCAGTGGAATCAGAAACCTTCCTTATGAAGAAAGGCTTGGAGAACAGAATTTATATTTTCATGAAAATGGCGCAGAAAGTGAGGGGGAGAAATGAGTGAAGCTCGATACAGCAAACCTGTCGTACGTGGCAGCTTTCTCAACCGTACCTAAATACTTGGGTATGAAGGTGCCTTAATACACCCCTTCTGCAAGATGCGATCAAGATCAACGGACTGCTTGACCAAATTTCATACTTGGAGACGAGGAGTTACAATAACGTGGCTGAAACTAGACAGTGAAGGGACGATGACGTTTCAGTCCGTCCTGGACCATTCTTAAGTCGATTGTGAGTCAGTGAGTCTGTGAGTCGATTGTGGACTCAAGTCCACGATCGACTTGAGAATGGTCCAGGACGGACCGAAACGTCGTCGTCCCTTCACTTTCTAGTGTGTGGTCTTCATACTTGGACCAGAAGTCCTGTACCTCTTAATGCTGGGCCCGACCTGAGGTGGGAGCCCACACTAAGCACAGTGATCAATACCATTCAATAATAGTTGGGTTTGGCTTCCTATTCAACCTAGAAGAAGGATTCAATTTGCTGCGGGTTCTTCATTAATATTTTGTGATATATCTGGTGGGTTCCGTGGTGACGGATCATCAGTTATCATATATAGGTTCATTTAAGAATTGGATACAAAGACTTTGTGTTACCATAATGAATTATCCAGAAAATGAGTTCCTGTTGGTAGGTTTATTACTCCCTCCTTGGCCTCAAGAAATCACAATGTTATCACATGAGTGTGATCGGAAGGTAATGGTAAACATTTTGGATAACGCTGCCATTTTTGCTACACAACCTTCTAGATATAAAGCCAATCAGGTTGACATATATATTGTCAACAACAACCAGAGCAACACCACCAGCACCACCACCACCACTACCACCACTACCACCACTACCACCACCAGCACCAGCACCAGCAACACCACCACCACTACCAGCACCAACACCACCACCACTACCAGCACCAACACCACCACCAGCACCACCACCACCAGCACCAACAACACCACCACCACCACCACTACCAGAACACTACCACGACCACCAACAACAACACCACCACCACTACCACCAGCACCACCAGCACCACCACCACCACTACCAGCACCAACACCACCACCAGCACCACCACCACCACCACCAACAACACCACCACCACCACCACTACCAAGAACACTACCACGACCACCAACAACAACACCACCACCACTACCACCAGCACCACCAGCACCACCACCACCACCACCAGCACCAACACCACCACCAGCACCAGCACCAGCAACACCACCACCACTACCAGCACCAACACCACCACCACCAGCAACACCACCACCACCACCACTACCAGCACCAACACCACCACTACCAGCACCAACACCACCACCACCAGCACCAGCACCACCACCACCACCACTACCAGCACCAACACCACCACCACCACCAGCACCACCACCACCACCACCACCACCAGCACCAACACCACCACCAGCACCAGCACCAGCAACACCACCACCACCACCACTACCAGCACCAACACCACCACCAGCACCAGCACCAGCAACACCACCACCACCACCACTACCAGCACCAACACCACCACCACCACCAGCACCAACACCACCACCATCACCAACAACACCACCACCACCACCAGCACCAACACCACCACCATCACCAACAACACCACCACCACCACCAACAACAACACCACCACCACCACCACTACCAAGAACACTACCACGACCACCAACAACAACACCACCACCACTACCAGCAGCAACACCACCACCAGCACCACCACCACCACTACCAGCACCACCACCACTACCACCAACAACAACACCACCACTAAACAACACCAACAAGAACACAAGTACCAATAATATTATAACAAGGAAGTCTTCACTCCAGTAATAGGTGTAGTCTAGACCCACATAATATATATTGTCCTCTCTCAGCCCTCATCTGTTTCATCAGTAACACTCACCGAGCTGTAATATATGACACTGGCCTCCTATATCTCTGGGACAGTGATGGCACTACCCTCCTATACCTCTGGGACAGTGATGGCACTAGCCTCCTATATCTCTGGGACAGTGATGGCACTACCCTCCTATATCTCTGGGACAGTGATGGCACTAGCCTCCTATATCTCTGGGACAGTGATGGCACTAGCCTCCTATACCTCTGGGACAGTGATGGCACTAGCCTCCTATATCTCTGGGACAGTGATGGCACTAGCCTCCTATATCTCTGGGACAGTGATGGCACTGGCCTCCTATATCTCTGGGGCAGTGATGGCACTAACCTCCTATATCTCTGGGACAGTGATGGCTCTAGCCTCCTATATCTCTGGGACTGTGATGGCACTAGTCTCCTATATCTCTGGGACAGTGATGGCACTAGCCTCCTATATCTCTGGGACTGTGATGGCACTAGTCTCCTATATCTCTGGGACAGTGATGGCACTGGCCTCCTATATCTCTGGGACAGTGATGGCACTGTCCTCCTATACCTCTGGGACAGTGATGGCACTAGCCTCCTATATCTCTGGGACAGTGATGGCACTAGCCTCCTATATCTCTGGGACTGTGATGACACTAGTCTCCTATATCTCTGGGACAGTGATGGCACTAACCTCCTATATCTCTGGGACAGTGATGGCTCTAGCCTCCTATATCTCTGGGACTGTGATGGCACTAGTCTCCTATATCTCTGGGACAGTGATGGCACTAGCCTCCTATATCTCTGGGACAGTGATGGCACTAGCCTCCTATATCTCTGGGACTGTGATGGCACTAGTCTCCTATATCTCTGGGACAGTGATGGCACTAGCCTCCTATATCTCTGGGACAGAGATAGAGGAGATTTTAATTACAATTAAAAACCGTCCATCGAAAGACCTGATCGGGATGAAAGCCGAGGAGAAATTTTGCCATTGTGGAATTTATCATGAAAATATGACCTTGTAGGATTATATAAAATAAGTTCGCATGAGCTCGTGCGCACATACAGGCAACCTAGAGGCGGGGACCAGGAGCTGATGCTAGTCCTGTAAATACGTATAAGGGAATATATAAGAAATACACTGCAGTAGGCCTACTGGCCCATATGTAGGACAGGTCAAATTTACACCCAACTGTATCTGTAAATCTTATCTCTAGTTTCGGCGACATATCGTCCTACTGACTTCGTTCTTTATTTTATATATTTACTTACATATCTCTAGTTAACCAGCTAATTTGCCTCAATCACGTTAACTGACAATTTGGTTCACTCTTCTAAAGATGTTATCGAAACCAAGTTTATTTATTTCCTTTGAAAACAGTTTCAACAAACTGGTACAAGTTTTGTCTATATTTATTTGTTTCAACCCGTGGATTATATCTTCTTTGTTGATGCCTTTACATGCCGTTGTGGACTGCCACACTGCTAATGGAGGCTCCTCCCGTGAGAGCACAAGGTGTACAGATCTAATAGAGGCTCACCTAGAGTCTGCAGTCTTCCAGAGTAGAGGTAGATGCGAGTCTAGGCTTCAGAGGCTATGATAGTAGAGCAGAGGTAGACGAATCCTCGAATTACTGCCAATAAGTAGATACAGGCCCAACAATCTAGCAGAGAAGTACAGGTGGTGTGGACAGCGAGATGTGTGGTGTCTCTACCAAGGGCGTGCTGCTCTGAGGATGGCGCAGTCAATCACCGTCGGGTATAACCTGAAAAAGGTAAAAAAGGAAACATACCCAAACGTCTCGCCCTGTATGGGAATCGAAGCCGGGATCTTTTGGTCGTAATATAACTGGGGCGACTACTGCGCTACAGGTGCGCGCGCACACCACCCTCAGATCCTGGAACTGCGGCGTGACGTCAGATAATGTTGAGCTCCCAGCTCCGTCAGGGCTGTGTCGACAGCGAGGGGCACCAGTATGGCATTAGTCTCAACATCCCGGCCCTCTCCTCCTTATGCGGGCTACTAACACGCCTCTGTAACATATGTATACATACATGGGACAGACATATATGTTTCATGTATTCTTATATCGTGTATATTTAAATCAATGTATATATATATTATTACCAGAAATACCGATAAACAGAAAGAACCAGTAATATTAACTCAGTAAAATGATTTAATATTTTATTTGTTTAAGTTGTATATTGTTATAGCACCATGTTCAATACGGTGTTACAGTACTGGGTAACTTGTGGTTTGGTAACAAGGATGTTGATTTGTGGGAACCATTATCGCGTAACATAACATTAGTAGGATCCCTTGATTGTTTCAAGCGTAGGTTAGACATATAAATGAATGAGATTGGGTGGTTATATATAAGAGCTGCCGCGTATGGGCAGTTACAGCCCCGCTCCTGTGCCAGGTAAGTCCACTACGGGCTCACTATAGCCCGTGCTACTTGGAACTTTTTGTTCCCAGTAGCTGAATCTTAAATAAAAACAACAGCATTTGAGCCAATAGGCCTTCTGCAATTACCTTCATTCTTATGTTCTACCCGAGGTTTCTAGGACTTGTGTCTCTTATTTTGATTGTTGCCGCCGGAGGCGGCTAGTTTATTGTGCACTCCATACTCATCCTGTGAGCGGTAGCGCAAAAAGCATTACAGAGGGCACAAAAGGTTTTTATCAGAAGTCATCTTAGATTATTACATAAACAATTTCAACTATCCTTCACACCTTATAGTTACAATGTCAGCTAGTTACAGAGAATTTTAATGTGTCCTTATACTGTAGCTGTATATATGTGTGCAACCCGTCCTCACAACTTATAGGTCACATTTTTACGTTATCGTTAATCAACGTTGCAATTACAACAGTTTAAGAAAAGCTCATAGGCCCCGTCTACTGACCAACAGTAGTTCAGTGTAATGACTCGTGTTTTCTTATGTATTTACATTTACGAGAGTCCAGTTATCTATACTGATGTTGGGATTTTTGACTAAAGGCCGGTGACCGGATCCGGTTAGGGTATTCAGCTCCCTGTTTTCCCCAGAACAAGATCCTTCAACCGTTTTACATTTAGGTCCCCAATTATTGCTTAGTGCACAAAGGCCAAATGTAAAGAAAACTGTATTTCTGCAACTGCAAGTTGCAGAAATACAGAAAACTACAAGAACCGAGGCCGTCGCTGAACTGACTAGTTCAATTAGTTGGACACCGTATGTAAGAGACTCTCGTACACAGCCCTGGAGGACGCCAGAATATATTGGTGGCGTTGGAGACGCAGCATTGTTCACGATAACAGATTGGTGTCAGTCGGCCAGATAAGATCTGATGTAACCAAGCAGGTGTGTTCGCTGACGCAGTGCGTAGCTTAAGAAGGCTAATATGGCCAATAGAGTCAAAGCCCAAGTGACGACCAAAGGATAATTTAACTGGGTAATACTTTCTATTAAGAGCCAAGTGAATCAAGTCGAGCAGATTTATCATAATGTCACTGATGCTTGGCTGGGGCCTGAAGCTAAACTGTCTTAGTATACTGTACTTGGTTAGGTACAAGTAAAAATGCTTATTAGTGGTCAAATATTTTCCATAGTGTGGGTAGGTTGGATATTGGTTCGTTGTTGTTAACGCTAGCAGGAGCTTCACCTTTGTAAACTGTAGTTACTTTTCTAAGTAGTATTTTGGGAGGCGAGTGGTTCTAGTGGCTAACGCAAGACTTATATTGTGTATGTTGTAAGACAAATAATTTGTTTATAAATTACTGTTGGTATTTCAGATTAGTTGGCAGTTTTGTGTTTAATTCATCGGTTCATTCACAACACTTGAGGAACTCCAGTGGGAGAATTAGAGTAGTTGCTTGAAAAACAGTAATTCATACTACTTTATATTGGTGAGAATTTACTTGTGGTCCTCATATGTGCACCAGCCACGCGTCTTGACTTGGAGTCCCTCAGCACAGCAGCGGCAGAAGTCCTTCTGCCTCATTGTAAGCCCAAGATAAATCATGTATACAAATGTGTTTGGGTCGGACAGAAGCTGCTGAATATGAGTTGCATTGATTGAACTCCTGACAGTACAAAGGATGACACACAAGACACAAGAAGCAGTTACAGCCTCGCTCCTATGCCAGGTGAGTTCACTACGGGCTCACCATAGCCCGTGCTACTTGCAACATTTTGTTCCGAGCAGCTGAATTTAAAACAACAACAACAAAAGTCAGTGACTTTATCACCAGCTCCCAGCTGAGACCCGTTTTCTAGCGTCCCGTAATTCTGCTATCCCAGATGAGATCACATTACTCGTCTTGCGAGGGACTATAGATGCACGCCCATATCTACATCCTACCTACATTACTAGTCAGGCAGGTGGAGCTGCTCTCTACAAAGAAACATTCAAGAAAATAAGTACAAGGAACCACCAGTACAACTTTGTCTTTATCGAATCAAAGACATTAGGCATATGGAGAAAAATAAACTTGGAGCTTCCTCATGAATGTGGGTTCCAAGCTCTTCTAAAGAAACAAGATAGACCCAAGAGCAACCAAGTTTATTTTATAATGTTCATTTGTTTGTAAGCTCCAAATAAAATAAGAATAACGTGGTAGTAGAAAATGATGTTCAAATGCATATATGGGTCACCTATTTATGAAGCTAAGGGTCCTCGCTAATTCAACCAAGTTTACCGTAGAACCTCAACACGTTTTCTAGAAACGTAGCATTCTTCAAGGACTCAACTTCATTCAGGTTACACACAAGAGTAGAAAAATTTGTGGAATAGATATGATAGTATCATGTTTTGCTGACGCTACATTATTTGTTCGCACCAAATGCCTCAGATCCAGGATTCACGAAGCACTTAGGTGGACCACTTAAGAAAGCTGTACCTGATTATGGCAACTTAGCCGGCATTTGACAAATAATTTACTATCTCCACAGCACAACGAGCCCATCCGTAACAATAATAATCTTGGGTCGAGTACTTCCTAGAGGCACTTTAAACCTCGTAAACTATTGAGTAAACATAATCCAAGCCTATGTGATGAAGAGGCACAGATCTCGTAAGTAGAGTCGTAAGTACCCTGTAAATCTGAATCTAACACAGTAGCAACGACAGAAATAGAGAGCCGTGAGGGTGGAAGAAACACGGGTGAGGGACTAAGACAAGTGAGGAATCTTGAGTACTCTCCTTGTGTATAGATAATTCCCTCATCTATTTGACCATGTCCAAGGTTACCTGACAATGTCTAAGCGAAACGTAATTCCAATAAAACACCGACATATCAAATAATATTCCTATTGTGTCTAAAACACAAAATGATAGTCTTATTATGTAATCATTCTGGTGGAGGACATATCAACCGTGTGAAGGTTATCAAGGCCAACCCCCAATACTTTACTGACCCTAATTTATCAAGCTTAATTTAGTCCAGGAAGAAAGTAAAAAAGAATCTCAATGTAAATACACGGAGATATCTTAGTGTATATAGTTTGTGAATGATTCTTATAAATTCATGTACATTTAAACAGAGGTTATAGTCCAAAGAACAAGGATCAGAGTAAGAACATGAATTTTCTTCATGTTCGTATTTCATGTTCATACATTTAGACGTCTTAATCTAACCTAAGAAATACGCAAAGAGATGAAAATGTTTGGCACAATATATTGCTATCATCGTTACATATCTTTGCCAACACTCGTGGCTTTACAACACTCGCCAAAGGCTTCACCAACGCTACTAAGCTGATATGAAGCATCAGATTCTTTTACCTTAAGCCTATAGCAATATACGATTGCCTAAATTCAACTCTGCCACTTTTTAGCTTTTTTTTTGAAGCTTAATACTTTCCTGCAGAACTTGCGAACTTTCCTTTAACTTTATAATGCTCCTTATATTAGTATAATTTTAAATTCTTAAATGTGCATATTTTCCAAATTTTATTATACGACTATTTAAGAGCATAATAATTAAGGAAACTGCAGAAAGCCTCTTAAGCCCTTATGAGGACACTCTTCTTTGTATCTACAGACTCATTCATATATATGTCACACCTACGTTTGAAACACTCCAGTGACCCCCCAACTCTGCACTCCCAACATCAATATAATTAATGCACATTTTGAATCAGTGAAGGCGACAAGACAAGCCCTGCAACATGTCACCAAATTGTTACTCTTCTTGACTGCCTTATATCTGATAACCATTCATTAATGCAGTTAATACTTGGCTTCCAGTGCCATTCACTTCAACCTTCCTAATTAACCTTTCATGTGGAAGTGTCGAATACTTCGCTAGATAAACAACTTAATTATCTTTACCAATATTCATTTACTTACTTATTACAACACATTGTAATAAGTAAATGCGTAATGATCCAGTGGCTTTTAATAAATGAATGTGTGTGTCGTTTACTAAAGAAGTTGATTTTTCAAGATCATAATAAAGTGAGATTTGCATTTTTCAAGTAACTTCCATATACTTTAAACTACTTGGAAGGTAATTATGGGGGGTAGATATCGTCCTCCATTTTGAGAAATGGCACTATATTAATGGCCCTCCGTGTTGTAGAGATGAATCCAAGAGTTTACTAATTTATTTATCAGACTTGTCATATGACTTTGGTGTTCTTAGAGCCTGTAATAAATATGTTAACAGGGTCTCCTAGAACCCAGGTGAATGGAGTATTTTAATAGGGCCTGGTGACTCGCTTGATTTTACATTTGTTTATAAACTATTTTTTAAAATTAGTACGTTAATAAATCCTTTATATTCAATCATTCCTGTAAAAGCAGCGACTTTTGTTGGTATAGACTATAGAGCCTAGATATTTCATAGCCAGGACTGGCATGAAGTACACTATTCATTTACAATTTTCCCGAATCTTCTTTGTTAGCTAAATGACCTAAACTTTAAACTTTATTTTAGTGATTCAGTCTTTTAACTTTTGTTTGATGCAATTGTTAAAATACTACCCAGTACTATGACAATTACTGCTAGTATTACCCCTATTTTATTACTACTAATAATACAAATCCTTTTAATAATAATACTAAAATCCTGCTAAAATATTCTTCCTAAAAATGTCAATAAAGATTGACACCTTGTCAATAAAGATGGACAATAAAGATATTGTACACCCTCCAACTTCAACTGATTGACGTTCGACCTCCAATAATGGCTGTATTCGAACTTGAGTAATTACTGACTTTTAATCTTCACCAATGGTATCAGTGAGCAAGAAGTCAATCCATAATTGCCACCTCGATTACTCAAACACGAAGCTATTTGGGTATCTCTTACCGCACAGGTGTGCCCCTCCTGACCAGGGGCCAGATTCATGAAGCAGTTACGCAAGCACTTCCGAACCTGTCCACCTTTTCTCAATCTTTGACGGTTTTGTTTACAATTATGAAACAGTTAATCAGCTCCGAAGCACCAGGAGGCTATTTATAACAATAACAACACTCGATTTGGAAGTTTTCATGCTTGTAAACTGTTTAATAAATGTTACCAAAGGCGTCAAAGATTGAGAAAAGATGTACACGTTCGTAAGTATTTGCGTAACTGCTTCGGGAATCTGGCCCCAGGCAGGCCAGTTGCGTCCTCTGCCCCGCGAGGGCTGTGGAGCCCCACCCCCCGCTCTCACACACAACCAACTGATGGTACTCTACTGATTTGCGATTCACTTGAACTAGACGTTAACACCCTTGGAGTGCATGTACATCACCACAACGCGCTACACAACGCAAGTGTTCACTCGCTAATTTCCGTCTTCTGCATATTGTTAGGTGCTTTTGTTTACATTCTACTATTTATTTTGCTTATATTTGCTGCTTTTTTATTTGTAAAATATTTTGGCTTGCTTTTTATTGGCTTGTTAATTTATATCGTTGCTGATTTGGATAAATCTTTGAATAGTTTATAGACTATTTTTGACCGATAAATATTTCATATTGTTAAGCAGTGAAAAGTTTGTTTTAAAAACTAAATTAAAGATGTACGTCTTTTCTGTGACACTACTTCTCTTCATAAGTTTAATGTTTCTAAGATGAACCTCTAACTCCGATTTTTGGATCCTGACGTAATCTTTCTTCTTATTTGCAGTTTAAGATTAGACTTGCACTCCTCGACCTCCTTGGACGTGTACTCGGGCTTCTCCAACTCTACGTCGTCGTCTCTCTCTTTTGTCGTAGTCGTCCAGCTGATGACTGCAGAAGAACACGACCAGGTCCCCGATCAGTGAGATGAAGGTGAACACTGAGGTGGAGAAGCAGGGAGAAGATGTAAACACAGCTCATTTACAGATATATATATTACTGCCAACCAGCAGTAACACAGGCAAACACAGCCACCTACCAGCAGGAACACAGGCAAACACAGCCAACTACCAACAGGAACACACAAACACAGCCACCTACCAGCAGGAACACACAGGCAAACACAGCCACCTACCAACAGGAACACACAAACACAGCCACCTACCAGCAGGAACACACACAAACACAGCCACCTACCAGCAGGAACACAGGCAAACACAGCCACCTACCAGCAGGAACACACAGACAAACACAGCCACCTACCAGCAGGAACACAGACAAACACAGCCACCTACCAACAGGAACACAAACAAACACAGCCACCTACCAGCAGGAACACAGACAAACACAGCCACCTACCAACAGGAACACAGACAAACACAGCCACCTACCAGCAGGAACACAGGCAAACACAGCCACCTACCAGCAGGAACACAGGCAAACACAGCCACCTACCAGCAGGAACACAGGCAAACACAGCCACCTACCAGCAGGAACACAGGCAAACACAGCCACCTACCAACAGGAACACAGGCAAACACAGCCACCTACCAACAGGAACACACAAACACAGCCACCTACCAGCAGGAACACACAGGCAAACACAGCCACCTACCAACAGGAACACACAAACACAGCCACCTACCAGCAGGAACACAGACAAACACAGCCACCTACCAACAGGAACACAGGCAAACACAGCCACCTACCAGCAGGAACACAGGCAAACACAGCCACCTACCAACAGGAACACACAAACACAGCCACCTACCAGCAGGAACACACAGGCAAACACAGCCACCTACCAGCAGGAACACAGGCAAACACAGCCACCTACCAGCAGGAACACAGACAAACACAGCCACCTACCAACAGGAACACAAACAAACACAGCCACCTACCAGCAGGAACACAGGCAAACACAGCCACCTACCAACAGGAACACAAACAAACACAGCCACCTACCAGCAGGAACACAGGCAAACACAGCCACCTACCAGCAGGAATAAGGTGTACGAGGAGCCTGAGGGTGTGGGTGTCGTAGAGCCAGCAGTGGCCCGTCCCCCCACACTGTGTCCCCCACACTGAACACGACCAATCTACATCAAGCCGGGACACAACAATCCATTAATACACTTTTGTTATTGTTTACACGGATCTATCATTACACTTTTGTTACATTCAAAATCTTGTTTACACAAGCCTATAAGTAATTAATACAAAATCTCAAAATCTTGGCTTTATTGTATAGCTATGTACAGTACTCTATAACTTCGTTGCATAGTTATATAATTAGGATGATTGCTAGTTCATTTCTGAAATGGATCCCTAGAGTATGTGGGATGAACAGAAAGGAGTCAGGCTAAGGTAGGCACTGGATGGGTGACCGCTCGGATATGCCTCACCTTTGGTCAGGGGGCCTCAATAAACGTAATAGTCTTCCTGTCCCCAACAATAGCATGTCATGATGAAATAACGTAAGGTCATCAACGTTCAGACATATTCATGAGATTGTAACACGGGGGGCGGGGGGTATTCGTTCAGTACTTCGTATCTTCGTTCTCTCTACCCCTCTCTTTACCCGTATTCTACTTTAGATCTCCATACCAAGGGACCCCAAAACTTTTACTTGAACCGACCCCACACCATGTAGGGGTCGGAACAAACACATTGACCGATTGACCGTCTTAAGATTCTACAACCCGTATGACGTGAAATAGACTTCTAGCAAAGCTCAAGAGTCGCCTAAACGCATAAACCACGAACGATACAATATGGTTTCCATTGACAGGAAAATCTGTTAAACTCATCGAGGCGCTTCGCCTTGCCCAACACCCAACCTTTCCCAGGTCCAACCTGTTATGATTTAACTCCGCCAAGTACTGCGCCACAAAGGCTCCTGTAGAATATCAAAACTTAAAAATATCATGGACAATACCCAGATTTCTATAAAAAGACAAAGGAAAGCCAAGGCTTTTACCTTGCTGTTCTTCTCCATCTGTCAACCAAAGTATTTATCCTGATTAGTTTGGGGTTAATTAGCTAAGTGTTGTAAAAGTGCCTTAAGAAGAATCATGACCGTACACAAAAAAATGACAATAATAACTTAAGATGACGAAGCTTCTTTAAATGGTGTCAAAGTCTAAACTCCAGACGTTCAAAAATATTTAATCCGAAATGTGTGGAGGTTTAGAGTCGATAAGTCTTGAATCCTACCTTCCCTTACCATGATGTACCTCACTGACTGCCACCACATGTATCACCACACTCGTCGCTGATGACAACAGATGACGTCACTACAGTTACTGACACAGCTGGCACTTACCAATGGCAGCCCCCATGATGATGGGTGCCGGAAGGATGCCAAAAACGGTGACTAAGACCGCGAGAATGGCGAGCGACACCTCCTTGTCCCTCTCTGACACCCCTCTGAAGCGCGCGAGAGAAAATAAAATATTAAACAATGGGCAATGAACACAACACAGTAACAATCCATCGTTTTCTGTTTTTATGTTTTCCTTCCCTCGTGTTCAACCGAAGCCCCTTTCATCTGTGGCCCCATTATTTCAACTGTTCCTTTTTCCCATCATCTGTAACCCCTCAAAACCAAAGCCCCATTCTTTCATGCGTAGCCTATTTCTATATTTAATATTTTCCCCCTTTCTTCACCCCTGACACAGCCTCTCCATACCTGAGGTGACCGATGCCAACAGCGAGCCTGCCGGTAGTGTAGACGGCGTTGGTGAGGACCTGCATGACGAGGTAGTAAGCAAAGTTCTCGCAGGGCTCCGGACAGTAACCCGAGGTCGCCGTCGTGTTCAATACAATGTTCTGGCGCCACATGGGGAGGAAGTCATTTTAAGCTCCAGAATTCTTTCAGGTGTTTGTATATATGTGTTTATATGCACAAGTCAGGTGTTTACGGTAAGGACAACAGGACAACAATCAGCTTCCAACACCACCACACAGCCGTACACCAGGCCTTGGGAACCAGGAATGGGGCTCAGAGTGGAGCGCCTAACTCTCTCACTACTCGCACTTTCATAGTGTCGGTGTTTTATATATATGGGTCATGCAATCAAGTGATCAGACTCTTAGATCTTACGACTGTTGGGTTTCTTAGGTGTGGCTACAAGTGTGTCTCTAAGTTTGCATTACCTGCTCATTTGATCACATCAAATGCAAACTTTGTCAGCAGACAACTCTGACACTCTACGTTATTTTGCAACTCAATGTGAAAAAAAATTCAAGAACTTAACGAAAATTATATCTAATGTTTAAATTATATTCATGTATTATTTCATACAAAAAAATTATATTACCCAAATTTTGATCCAAGGGTCATAACTTTATCTACTGTAGATTGTGCATATACTAAATGTAAGCTCACGAAGCCTGTAAATAATAATCTCACTTGAGCACAATGATCACTGCAAGTTTACAGTGATCAGTCTACTGTTGATAAGTTTACCAACAGTAGACTGTAGAGCATGAGGTACTCAAAGTGATACTACTGAACATTGTAATACCATTAATTTCTAATTACTTAAAGACTCTTGGAATAAAATCTTACCTTCAAGTCATCAGTGTCGGGAAGACCCGGCTGAGTCGAGGAGCTGGTCACATGGCTGATACATGAACAGTTTCTGTACACCTGCGGGAAACATTATGAAAGAAAATATATATTCGTCTGTTAGAGAAAACGCAAACTTTAACTATAAACTAAAACAAGTTGACCAAGCCACACACTAGAAAGTGAAGGGACGACGACGTTTCGGTCCATCCTGGACCATTCTCAAGTCGATTGTGACTTGAATGAGTCTCACCATCGACTTGAGAATGGTCCAGGACGGACTGAAACGTCGTCGTCCCTTCACTTTCTAGTGTGTGGTTTGGTCAACATTTTTCAGCCACGTTATTGTGACTCCTCGCCTGCAAACTAAAACAATATTGCACTGCATTTAAAGCGCACAAGATAAAAACTTTAATTAAGGCTCAAGTAACACTATGGACATGCTAGTACTCACAACAGGCTCCGTGGAGTCATCAACGGTGAGACAGCCGGCGTAGCAAGCGGAGTAGAAGAGGATGGTATGGTTCTGGACCAAACACAGGGGAGAGAACCTGTCCGAGCATCCACATTTCGCAGAACACGTTCCTTCAGCCGACCTGCGTGACACCACCGGATTAACTCTAGCCTATATGATAACCAAAACAGTTACCTAGTATCGCATCACTACTGTTTCCTTCTATCAACAGCCACACATTATATAAATTAGACAAAATCCAAAGGAATAATCAGGAGACCCTTAATTGACAAGCCACTGGCTTCCTATCCCCGTTGAAGCCAAAAGAGATTGTGACCCAAGTTAAATTCTAGTCAATTCAAGCAAATAGTTCCATTTACATTCTAAATCAGCAGATTAAGGGGCAAACAATCATTTACACACTCTATTCTCTGTTCAACAAAGGCCACTCACGTCCTCTCCCTTTATAAATACGAGAAAGCATGAATGGGATCCACTATTAATTTATTACCCGATTCCTTTAGCTCAGACCTTCACAGGTGCCCCTTCTGTTCTCTCTTTTCAAGCAACTCCCATTCCAGGAAGGTTTCACATCCCTCTCTACTTGCACCAACTTACTTTTCCCTGGGCCCAACAACCTGGAGTCTTGGGCAGCCAATGAACATGAGGCCGAGGAAGGAGGCAAAGACCAAGGCAGAGAGCAAAGTGTCGCAGGCGGCGAGGGACCTTGGTCCCTGTGGTGCCCACCTCACGAGGGCAGTGCTGACGGCAATGCCCAAGAGGGATCCCACCAAAGTAACCAACCCTGCGGAAGCACCAGCAATGGATAGAGGGAATAGGATCGCTAAAGTCATGGTCAGTGTCTCTCTACATATATAGAGTAATATAGAAACTTAAGTAGTACAAACAAGTTCATTTAGAACCCAGGTACCTTAAGTGAAAATAAGATTAAGACAATATTATAGTTGTATCTACACGTAGCCACTAAGAAGACAAAGATAAGTCATCCAATAGAATCATTGGGGAATTGAAAGAAAAAAATAAGGAGTAGAGGCGAGAATCACCTACTTGAACTAGCAGCACAACAAGTGAACGTCTACCATTCCATTCGAAAAGTTAATATGGAGATGCAATAAGCACCTGACGACGAACCTGTGTAGAAGTTGGCTTCGCTGGCGCTCTTGCGGAACTCAGCCTCCAGGTATTTGGATTTGAAGTTGATGTAGCAGGCGAAGGCCAGGAAGAAAGCCACTGAGCTGAAGAGATTCCCCACCCAGATCTTGTTGGTGAAGAGACGTTTCAGCGTTTTCGGTAGATCTGTAGGAGAAGGAGGCAGTTGTCAATGAAGCTAGGAGGGACCAGTTACCAGCAAAGCCATGTGACATTCAGAATTGTCAAAGCAAGCAGAGGTGGTGTGACTTCTTATAAGTTGAAAAAAACTCTTGCAACGTTGTAAATCCAACTAGTTGCATATTATATATACCACACGTAGCTTACAGCCTAACTAGTGACCCATACGAGAGGGCAGTAGTGCTGCTGAATTGAGGTAAATTAAAGACGCTGTTTTTCCAAATGTATGACATTGCCTCAATATTTTATCATGAAAATTATGTTGTTTCTCATGCAATTGTGGCAATTGGCAATTGTGAATTTTGGATATTTGAACTCTGACATTAAAGCTTGGTTAACGTAAGTGAGCTTAGTGTTTATTTTGAAGCTTTCTCTACCAGGATCTTCAAACTGAAAAGTTCGAAGTTAAAATGTTCACAGACAGAATGTCTTTGGCTAAAATGTTCGACTCTGAAATGTTTAAGATGCTCAGAGCTAAAAGGTCCACAGTTCCGTGCCACCCCCTCCCTCCTCCACACACACAACTAGCACCACAGAGCCTTACCATGAATGGAAAGTGTGGCTTCCTTCCTCATGGTTGTGAAGATATTGAAATTGCTGACCTTCCAGTGGCTCCTCGACGCTTCTCTCCTCTTGCCCTCCCTCACCATTCCCTTCTTTAGTGTCAGGTTGTGAAGGAAGAGGAGCAAGAGGCCCCCGAGCACCAGTACACAGCAGCCGAGGAACAAGAAACCTGGAGAGTGGGAATAACAAACCAAAAATAATCAAGAATATATTACCCAGTGTCTTTGTGTTACTTTGTTTATGTAATGAACTAACAAGTTCTAACTTTAATGACAAACAAATGATTTTGCAACAGTAAAGTTGTCCTCACAAAAGTGCTTAACAGTGAAACATGACAAAATATCAGAGTTCAAAATATAATTCAACAGACGGTTCTGATATAAAATACTGACTCACACAGAGAGGTGGTTTGTTCGACAAGGTGGCTATGAGCTGGAGAATAAATGAGACTAAATGATGCTGTCCTGACAATAGCAGATAAAGGACAGGACAGTCATAAAGACGAGTCATTACCTATCCACCAGGAGCCTAGCCAACGGGGGTCGTTCCTGGCTAGGTTGGGTGCGTCATGGGAAGGACTTATCCACACCCTCACACACGACCCTCCTAGAAGGAATCCACATACCGGCCCCACGACTCTCAGCAGCAGTGTGATGCCTGTGGACAGTTCATGTGTAATCAATCAAGTTAGGAGTTAATATCATTCAGTTTAATTTTTGTCCAGTATTGAAATATCTGATTATTTTTCAACATCTTTTCTATCATCAATCAATCAACAGGTAAATACCAAAGTACTGAGGTGAATGATTGTTGATGTCGTCGAGGTAGGAGGCGCCGATGCTATAGAAGATGCTGATGGCGATGCCGATGAAAAACTGGGAGATGAAGAGCATGATGACAGGGCCGACGAAAAACTCCTCATAGAAAACCTTGCAAGACTCTTCATTCTCATCAGTCACCTCTGAGAAACACGTCTCCGTTCTCTCTGAAACATGGCATAGTGCTGACGTAAATTTTACCCAAAACTTGTGTTGAAACTTCTCCAAACTTTAGGACAGATATTCTTGAGTGATGCGAAGATTGCAATAATGTTTACCTATCTCTCCAAAAGCTTCCCTTGTCACCTCTCCCGAGCCATACACGACCTGCGGAACGACGGCCAACAAGCAGGAGGCGACGCCGGCCACCACACCAATCACCATCCACCGGCCGCGGTGGACGGACTGGCCATGCAGAAGCAGAAGAGTAGAGACTGCAGCTTGTACCGCCCAGCTTCCAGCGAGGATCACACCTGACAGAGGAGAGCGGGGAGATGGACGGGGGTGGAAAAGGAGGAGATGGAAGAGGAGGCATCTATGTTTAGTGATAATAACAGTCATTATTCAAGTCATGTTAATGAGCTCCATTCTTCATGTGCCTACTCACTAATTCACGCACTTACCAGTTTGCTTACTAGACAAGTGGAAGCTCTTCTCGATAGTAGAGATGACGGAGACGGTGAAAGTGTGGCTCATGCCGTAAGTAACCCCCAGCAGGCAGTATAGCAGCAGGAACACTTCTCGCCTCGCCACAACCTGAAACACACTGACAGGTACACCTGCCTCGCCAACACCTGACACATAACCTGGAGAGACAGATCAACGGAAAGCTGTTCCTCACTGACGATTAATAAGTAAATCAAAGAGTGAGTGAAGCAGAAGGGAGACTGGACACTTGTCCCCTCTCAGCCATACCTTCCGTGTCATTCATCCATAAACCTTTGTCCTCTCTCAACCATACGTTCCGTGTCATTCATCCATGGACCCTTGTCCTCTCTCAACCATACGTTCCGTGTCATTCATCCATGGACCCTTGTCCTCTCTCAACCATACCTTCCGTGTCACTCATCCATGGACCCTTGTCCTCTCTCAACCATACCTTCCGTGTCATTCACTCATGGACCCTTGTCCTCTCTCAACTATACCTTCTGCATCGCTCATCAATGGACACTTGTCTCTGCCTCACCTGCAGCCATTGAGGCCGGCAGGACCTTATACTGCAGTGGGCAAAGTTGAGGTCATCTCCATAGTGTAGGAGAACCCTCGACCATGATGGTTCGTCGTCGTCGCCCACTTTTCTAGTGAAGGAGGCGCTGCTCGTGGT